TACCACAGTACTACAGTACTACAGTACTACAATACCACAGTACTACAGTACTACAGTACTACAGTACGACAGTACGAAAGTACTACAGTACTACAATACTACAGTACTACAGTACTACACTATTACTATTACTATTACTACTACTACTACTACTACTACTACCAGTCCTGCTGCTACTCCATGTGTTGGTATACTGCTGATGGTCTAAAACGATACCCCAAACGATACCCAAAACTTGCTTACAAGGCTGTTTGTGGGACCATGCCCCTCCACCGCAACACACGTCTGCCGATGAGTCCCAAACCCCACGCACAAACCGTGCTTCACCCTGTCAAAGAAGCATACTTAGGCTCCGCTTGGAGCGACTGATTCATCTAGTTTGCTTGCATCATATGAATCCAAGAGTTCCATCGGTACTTTATTCAGTTCAACATGAGTCAAAGATACGCTCATGTGCCCTCTTGTAAAACGATAGGGGAAACAAAAACGATACCCTTTGTCAAGGGCCCGGTTCTAGGAACAGTATATCGGTGGGGCCTCATATCCTGTATTTAGGCCTCTCTGCTTTCTAGCATCGATTACACTCTTGTTCCGCAATTTGCTACAGAAGCCTTCCGTTGCATTTCCGAACTCCATGGTTTTAGAATCAGAGCCAAAGCGCAAAACACAACTTTATTTCCACTAGGAGAATTGCCACCTGAGCTTGCCGTCACTCACACCGGCCACAGGGCACGCACATGACTTCAACGGCCGCGGACACCGAACTTTTGATGAATTGTGTTTTGCTTTGGGAACAAATGCCACACACAAAAACTCAGGAGCCCACCCAGGAGCCTTGACCCCCTCAACCTCAACGAAACGCCCTAAGTTCCTGAACCTTTGCCCCCAAAACCTTCAAAATAACATCCTAATGTAGGGGCCCGAATACTTAGAATAGGGTTTTGGGGGGTTCCTTATTATAATTCTGCTATAGTATGCCCCAAACCTTATTCTAAGACCTCTACATTAGACCAGAAAACTCCCTGGCCTCAGGAGACTGCACAGATTCAACGAGTACGCCCCGATGACCCAGTTGATGCACCCGACGGAACGGAGACGCTGAAGGCTGGGTAGAGTTGTCTGGACTTTAGGGTTTAGGGGTTTAGCGGTTTAGGTTTTAGGGTTTAGGGTTTTGGGTCTAGGGTTCAGGGTGTAGGGTTTGGGGTTTTTTTGGCTCAGGGGTCTCATGCGGTCTGGGTCCCAGGTTTACGAGGGTTGGGGGTTTAGGGTTTGGTGCTGCGGTCTCGCTCAGAGGTCACCGGGCTGGGACAATTTTGTATACGCAAGCGAGCTTTTTCAAAGACTGACTGGTCTTGTGACTGAAGAGGGCAATGTACCGCTGTATGATCAAGGCTTTTGAGCCACATGACATCATCTGGTCATGCCAAGACAGTATTCTGGGCCCTGTCTGTACATCTGCCTTGCAGGTGTCAGATGTTCACCATGTGAAGTTGCTTGGCGGCATTTTTTGCCGTACTTCTTGGTCGCAATGGTTCGCAATGGTGCACCCAGAAAAGTGAGACAAGATTTCATGTTGCAGTTGCAGGATTCGAGCACCCTAAACCCTAGACCCTAAATCCTAAACCCTCGAGTCCAACCGACTCGCTGTAACTTGGAAGGAGTAGCCCGCAGGAAGCGTGCTTTCTTTGGTTTTGTTCCGCCATGCTGTGAGAAGGGTCCCCGACGCCGGGACTCCCTGAGGCTGGTCCCGTTAGTAGTATGTTATTACGATTATTGTTCTTATTACTACAGTTCTTACGCCATTATTTCTGTTTTTTTAGACTCGCGATTGCAAGGCTCACTCTCGACAACCTGCTCGACTATGCGAGGTGCGAAGTTGTAATCGCTTCGGCATGTCTTGTCGTAGATTGCAATGGCGCTGTTGCCGCAGAGCTCGATGTTCCTTGTCAACCAATCATGGACAAGAAGAATTGAAGGCGCTGGGATGTGGAAAGGTTAAATCCTGTAACCTTCGGAGACCTGCAGAATTGGCCAAGTTCGTTCTAGACACGCAGTACTTGTACATGTATCGTGGAGGCCGTATAGTTCGGAACTTGCTTGTAAGCAGGCAGAGATTAGAGCAAAGGGGTGCAAGGTTCACATCAGCACTTGTCTCCAGCATGTGCGCAGACCTGATATCACCAGGGTGAAGCGTGCTACGCCCTAAACCCTGTGGTAGTACCCTTTCGCCCTCCTGGAAGTATCCTTCATAGGTGGTCGGTGCCTGGTGCCCGCGCCATCAAGCAGCCAGACTGCAGCTACATGTAGTGAAGCGCTTGGGGCTCAGAGTTTAGCTCGCTGCTGGTTTGGAGGGAAGAAGGACTCTAATAATCTGTGCATAATATATTCCCATATTCCCCCGTAAATAAACCCTAAACCCTAAACCCTATCCACCAGAAAGTTAGGGTTTACGGTGTGGTTCCGGAGTCGCACTGGTCAGAAGAGAGAATGCCACAGCGATAGACTGGACCTAAGGTGCGCATAGCATTCCAGCTACATTAGGATTGAGGGTTTGGGGTTTAGGGTTTAGGGTAGCGTTCCAGGAAATATCAGCCGGACACGTTTTAGCTTGTGTTTTTGACGCTGCCCGCAGGCCGAACGACAGAAGTTGCATGCAGTAGATCCAGTGAGGCGACAAAATAGGGGCCTCAATAACTACCAATACTATTTTGGGGGTCCCTTATCATACATAGCTATAGTATCATGGACCCCAAAACCCTATTCTAATCATTAAGGCCCCTACATGAAGCGGCTCCTGTGATGAACATGCAGGGCGAAACGATTCGAGAACTTTACATCTGCCAACATGGCTGAAGTTAAGGCGAGTGTTGTCGTACAGTTGGACGTTCATCCTTCTCATCGCCAGCCACTTTCTGCAAATTATGTGAGTTTCTGGGATCCTCCCTGAAAGGTCTCCAGTTCTGGAGGCAGGCAAGGTTATTGACGTGTCGATTTCATGAAAGCTGGTGTTCAAGTTGACGCTCAGGCCACTGAGGCCCAAGATGGTTTCAGCTCAAGGAGGGACCCCAAACCCTAAACCCTAAACCGGTTTAGGTAGGGTTTAGGGTTTAGGGTTTAGGGTGTGAATCCAAGGATTCGTGATCACAATCTACGCCATGCTGATGCGACGAGATCAATCAGAGGTGCCATTGGTGTACCTCCTCGTCACACTGGCGCCCGCTCCCCAGAAGGGACTGGGAGATAATGCTAGGTTATCTTGTGCAGAGAGTGAAACAACATGTAGCTAAACTCACAGCTGCTGGTAGTCTTTGAGAGCGGGGCCACAAAAGCCTACACCTTTGTGCGATTTCGTCTTCTCACCACACCTAATCCCAGGACATGTCAGTAAGGAGCCTGATTGACACCAAGGCCTGAGAAACTCGTAGGGCCCACTGCCGATGCCTTGTCCACCTCATATAACAAGCTGGATCCCAAGCAGGTATGTAATCCTCGGGGCGAGTTTGCAGCCTTATGTCTGGACGTTCCTGAACGACTGGGTGCCCTGGCTTGTGGACTTCGAGATTGCACTATATGGGGGTTTCCGAGAATAGGGGACCCTAATATAGTACCTTGAATAGCAGGATCCTTATTATAAGGACCCAAANNAAGGTAACCTAATTCTCAGAAACTCCTATATCTTCTGTGGCAAGAGGTGAGTTAATAAGATCTTTAGGGTCTGTGTGCAGTGTGACTCGGGGCTATCGCTTGGCATGCAACTGCAGAAGATGATGTTAGGTTTCTGTGAATGTGTGCTCGAAATTATTCTCGTGCAGATTCAGATATGGTAGTTCTGCCTCCAAGTGTTCCTAGGGTTCTCAGTGTTCTCCCTTTTTGAGAAACACTCATATAGCAGACTTGCTAGAATTCTGCTTCGTACCTGTGCAGCTCTTCACAGGAAGGTGATCCACTCTGGGTCAGATCATGGATTTAAGTGTGCGCCCTGGCGCCAGCAGCTAACAGAATCCACCCGCAGTGCGCTGCAGGAAGTTGCTATCCACGCTCTGATCTACGTGTGGCTGGGATAGCAGACATTCTATCTGGCTTTGTCTGCAGGAACGCGGTGTATGTTGTATTCAAAGGCAGCAGCTATGTAAGGAAATGTCAAGGATTGCAGTCTGGGTTCTGTCCCGGTATCAGCAGCTCACGTAGGACCACTGGGGAAGACTCGTAAAGTGCAAGCACAGTAAAACACAAAAGAGCGCCACCAGAGGTTTCAGAGTTCCAGCCAAGGAGCACTTGGCAGTGCTAAAGATTCCACAAGAGCCCCCTCACCAAACTTGCGTTCTATAGCCGTTGTATAAGGACAATATTGGCAGGCTACCAAATGGTCTATATGTGAGTTTCCTTCCGGGGATGCTAGTAAGTAGTCCAGGGCTCATGTGTCGTGGATGGAAAGAGGCACCACGAGGCAAGAGCCTGACGGCTGAATACTCATTTGCGATCAACAGCTCTTGTGGTTGGAAGCCCTAAACCCTAAACCC